TGTGCTCACTGATTGCAAGACTCCACGTTGTTAAGATGACAGTACTCCCCACGGTGGTCTGCACATCCAGTGCCATCCCCCTGAAAATCCCACTAACGTTTTTTGTCAAACAAAAAACCCCACTCTGCAATTTATGTGGGATTGTATGGGACCCTAGACATCCAGAACAATCTTGAAAAAGAAAACCAGTTGGTCTCACATTTTCTGATGTTAAAACTTACTGCAAAGCCATAGTAATCAAAACAGTGTGATGCGGAAATAAGAACAGGCACACAGGTCAATGGGATAGGATAGAGAATCCCCAAAATAAACTCTTGCATATATGGCCACATGATTTTCAACAGGGGACCAAAATGATTCAATGAATAAAGGACAATCTTTTCAATACATAGTACCAGAAAAACTGGATATCCACATGTAAAAGAATGAAGTTGGATGCTTACCTTATACCATACATAAACACAGTGAGCTCAAAGTAGGTAAAAAATGTAAATGTGTAAAAGCATTTTACACATTTACCTGATAAAGATATAAGGTATAGGGGGAGAGCTTAATGACATTGGCTTTGGCGATGATTCCTTGGATATGACATGAAAATCACCACCAACAAAAGGAAAAAGAGGTAAATTGAACCACATCGAAATTAAAAACATCTGTGTGTCAAAGAATACAACAGAGTGAAAAGGCAACCCATGGAATGGGAGAAACTTTGGAAATCATATACTTGATAGGGGTAGTTAATATCTGGATTACATAAAGAACTAGGAACCAGCAACAACAGAAACAAAAATGGCCATTTCAACCCAGACAAAGGACTTCAACAGACATATTTCTCCAAAGAAGATGTTCGAATGGCCAATGAGCAGGTGAAAAGATGCTCAATGCAATTACCCATAAAGGGAATGCAAATCAAAACTCAGTGAGGTGGCACCCCACACCTGTTCGGATGGTTATTACACAAAAGGTGGAGAACAACAAGTGTTGGCAAAGTTCTGTGGTGATGGGAACGCTTGTGCATTGCTGGTGGTTGTGTAAGATCACTCAGCGGTATGGAAAGCAGGATGTCTTTGTCTCACAATGTCAACCACAATTGTCATATGATCCAGCAGTTCCACTCCTGGATATATACCTGAAGAAACAAAAGCAATACCAATGCTTGTATTCACAGCAGCATTCTTCACAACAGGCAAAAGGTGGAAGCAGCCAAATTGTCCATCAACACATGAATGGATAAACAAAACATGGTATGTCCATACACTAGAGTATTACTCAGTCAGAAAAAGGTATGAAATGCTGATACATGATACAAGAATGGTGAACTTTCAAAACATGGTGAGTGAGACAGGCCAGGCACAAAAGTACAAATGTTACGTGACTTCACTTCTATGAGGGACCTAAAAATAAGTAAATTCACAGAGAGAGAAAGTAGACCAGAAGTTACCCACTCCTGGGGGGAGAAGGGGAGAATTACTGTTCAGTGGGTACTGAGTGTCTATCAGGGATGATGGAAAATGTATGGGTACAGATGGTAATGATAGTTGCACAGCAGTGTGAACGTACTCAGTGCCAATTAAAAATGGAAAAAATGGGCTTTGGCTGGTGCGGCTCAGTGGATTGAGTGCCAGGCTGTGAACCAAAGAGTTGCAAGTTCGATTGCTAGTCAGGGCACACGCCTGGGTTGCGGGCTGGGTCCCCACTAGGGGGGTGCATGAGAGGCAACCACACATTAATATTTCTCTCCCTCTCTTTCTCCCTCCCTTCCTCTCTCTCTAGAAATAAATAAAATCTTTTTCAAAATGCAAAAAAATTGTGTTAAGCATATTTTACCCCAATTTTTAAAAATGTATTTATTTATATTTAAAGAGAGGGGAAAAGAGGGGAACATCAATGTGTGGTTGCCTCTTGCACACCCACTACTGGGACCTGGTCTGCAACCCAGGCATGTCCCCTGACTGGGAATCGAACTGGTGACCCTTTGGTTCACAGGCCTGTGCTCAATCCACTGAGCCACACCAGCCAGGGCCTCAGTTTTGTTTTGTTTTTAATTATTGTTTTGTGTTTAATTCTAATTTCTTGACTTGTGTGCTGTTTGCTTCTGCTGTTCCTCTAATAAAACCCAGCTCCTTGCCCATTTTCTGTGCTGAACCATCACCTTCTCTCTGGTTTCAAACCCTTGTCTTCCTCCCCTGCGTTAGGAAGGTTTTACCCATTTTCAGTCTCCTTTCCCTTCTTAGCTTTGTCCCCAGACCAGCGGTAGCAACGTCATCTGGGAAATAATCGCAGGCGCTCCGCAGCCCTTCTGCTGAGAATCCGCATTTTAACAAGATCCCTCAGTGACGCGGGTGCCGGTCCACGTCATGAAATGATCCTCAGCTGTGTCGATTCCCCCATCTGTCTGCAGCCCAAGATTCCCATGAGCACTCGGGGCTGGGTGCCTTGCCTCCTTTTCTTGGTTTTACTGTGTCTGCCCATCTGTCTTCCTCTCAGGCTGTTCCTTCCTTCTGTCTCTGCACTTGTTTGGAAAAGGGCGGATTGCATTCAGGCCTTTTGACAACCAGGCCTAATACCTTCCAAATTTTTCGACGTTCATTCTCTATGTTTTCCCTACTTTTCATAGAATGCTTCTTTTTGTAGGCAGAATGTGTTTCTTAATTTTTTTTAGATTTTATTTATTTACTTTTAGAGAAAGGAAAAGGAGGGAGAAAGAGAGGGAGAGAAACGTCAATGTGCGGTTGCCTCTCACGCGCCCCCTACTGGAGGCCTGGCCTGCAAACCAGCCATGTGCCCTGATAGGGAGTTGAACCAACAACACTTTGGTTCGCAGGCCAGGATTCAGTCCACTGAGCCACACCAGCCAGGGCTGTATGCAAAATCTTTATCCTCAGATGGGACAGATCCTTGGAGACGAAGTGGACCTTGGCTGCCTTCGGGTTCAAGATCATGTTGGGAGTTTCAGCCACTAGGCTGTAACTGCTATTCATTTAGGGTAGGCCCTCCCTTCTGACTGCTGGATACACTAACTGAGCCATGAAGTCAGACCCAATCTATGCTACTGTGAATAGTCTGTGTTGTTGTTAATTCATTGATTTTAGAAAGAGAGGAAAGGAGAGGGAGAGAGAAAGAAAAATGGATTTGTTCTTCCACTTACTGATGCATTCATTGGTTGATTCTCGTACATGCCCTGCCCAGGGATCGAACCCTCAACCTTGGCATATGGGGACGATGCCCTAACCCACTGAGCTACCTGGCCAGGGCCCTGTGAATAGTGTTGAATGACAGCTTCCACTCTGGCACTTGACTTACATGCTGTGTGGTATCTACCTCTGGTCAGCACAGTGATGGGTTGAGGAGGTGGTGGTGTGCATTTGGCTCTTTGCATCCAACCGCTTGCAAACAAAGAGTTGTAAAGCCATGGGTGGGGGGGACAGGAGGGGACTGGGAGGTTGGGGTCAGCGGCAGGACCATTCTGCCTGGCTCGCCGCTCTTCTCCTCACCGTTTCCAGGGGAGCTTCCTGTGGGGATGAAGACGTTCTGTGATTAGCACTGTGGGATGCAGGAGCCACAGGTGGCTGCTGAGAACTTGAAACGTGGCTAGTGCCTCAGAGACACTGAATTTTTAGTGCTACTCCACTTGAATTCATTTAAACTTTAAATCTAGCCACATGTGGCTCATGGCTACTGTTTCGGCTATATATTATAGACATGTACGATCTCTGTATGTATTACAGATTTCTCTCCCCTACTTGCTCTTCTTTTTTTTTAAAGATTTTATTTATTTATTTTTAGAGAGGGAAGGGAGGGAGAAAGAGAGAGAGCGAGAAACATGAATGTGCAGTTGCTGGGGGCCGTGGCCTGCAACCCAGGCATGTGCCCTGACTGAGAATCGAACCTGCGATGCTTTGGTTCGCAGCCCGCGCTCAATCCACTGAGCTACGCCAGCCAGAGCTCTACTTGCTCTTCTTAAAGAACAAGAACCTCACTCCCTGAGTAGGTGGTAGCACATTTCCTACTTTAAGGGCAGAGAGGGGTCAGGGAGGTAGTGGAGTGTAAGCTTCACGCTGCCTAAATCTGATGACCACATCTGCCTTCCAGTTCCTTCCTAAATCTGACCAACCTATCTATTCTTTCTAAGCCTTGGTTTGCTCATCTTTAAAATGGGAATAATAGTAATAATAATACCCCCGTGGTGCGTCTCTTGTGGAATTGGTGCACGAGTATGTTTGTCCCAAGTTGATACGTCCTTGGGTGGACACCCCTGCTAGTGTAGACAGAGTAGGTGATGAACTTGAGATTGCCAGGAGTGTCCTCTTTCTCTGTGCAGTTGATGGAACCATGGCGTGGCAGAAGCTTCACTGGCCTTGGCCGTGATGTAAATTCTTTCCATGGCTGCCGCTGACCCCAAGGGAAGCAAATCCCACTCAGTTTCGATCCCTAATCAAATAAAAAGCCAAATAGTCTCTTGGAAGAGAGAAGCGATTTCATGGCGCAAAGCTCCAGAGTGTTGGACCCAGCCTCTCACTGCCAAGTATAATAATAACACAGGAAGCAGCAGAAGCTGGGCTCAGAGCCGAGGGGCAGCCTGTGGACATGCAGCTACCGGAACCCGTCACACAGAAAGCCAGAGAGTTCAGTCCTGACCCAGTCAGCGCTGTCACCACGCAGGAGTTTTCTCTGTCCTGTAAAAGTCAAGGAGCCCCTAGACCAGGAGGCAAAGCAAAGACTAAAGATAAGAACTTCCCGAGAGACCCCCTTCTCTGCCTTCAATGTCTAAAAGTCCACAAGACTTCGTGGATAATGGCAGAGGATGTCAATGTTTTGTGTTGCTTTTCTTGACTGAGCTGGCCTATACGGTATGACGAAAATTTACTCAGTGTAATCAGTACTCGGAATCGGATGTCCTTAGGAGAAGGGGTCCTACTCATAGCTTACATGGAAGCAGCTGTCTTGCTACCCACTTCTCATCCCATCTTTGCTCTCTGCCCCACCCCCCTGTGTTTCAGAATCACCACGACTGCGGCGTGCATGATGGACCTGAGAAGGTACCCCTTGGACGAGCAGAACTGCACCCTGGAAATCGAAAGCTGTGCGTATCTCTATTTCTGTTCTTCATCCGCATTGTGTTTTAAGCCGTCTTGTTGTTCTTTGACATTTTCGGCAAGGCCTGTGTCATTTTCTTGACATAGTTTTTAAGTATCTTAAAGATAAAAGGTTTAATCATTCACTCCGCAGTAGAAGAGTTCCCCATTATGCCCTGGCTCATGGGGCTCAGTTGGTTGGAGCATCGTCCTATGCACTAAAAGATTGAGGGTTCGATTCTGGGTCAGGGCACACACCTAGGTTGCAGGTTCAATTCCCAGTCAGGGTGCATACAGGAGGCAGTCAATCTGTGTGTCTCTCACATCAGTGTCTCTCTCTCTCTCTCTCTGTCTCTCTCTCTCTCTCTACCCCCTTCTCTCTCCCTCCCTCCCCCTCTCTCCCTTCCTCCCTCCCTCTTTCTCTAAAACCAATAAACAGAAAAAACAAGAGTTCTTCATTCTAATCTGATTAAGAGAGTCTGACTAGGGCCGCCCATCTCGGGCCTCTCCGTGAGCAGAGAGCAAACACGGAGACAATTTTGTCACAATATGCTTCATCACGCATGAGTGGCTGCCCTCCTGGGATCCTGGGAGGTTGGAGTAAAACTCATTTTCCATCAGGAGCTCAGCTTTACAAGCACGCTGTTGCTACATCTCGGCCATTTCCTTGCATTTGGGGAGTATTCCGACGTGCGGCTGCCACTTCAGTGCGGAGGGCTCCTGCGTGAGGGGCGTCTGTGTTATTGAACAGACACGTGTCCCTGGCTGCTCCCTGAGCTCCGTGTCCAGGGGGTCTGGAGGGCGCTGCTGTTGTTAGTAATCCCGGCCAACCATGCCTGGGTTTATAATCAGTTTCCACTGGATTTCGGCTTGTCAGTCTTTATATTGATGACTTTTTTGTGTGTGGATGGCAAATGAGCAACTTGCCAATGTCTCTTGACATATTTGCGGTGAGCAGTTAATGTCTTTGGGAAGTTGGCTTGGCGACTAAGGTTCAGATCCCCGTGGAGCTGGCCCCAAGGTGCCCCTGGCTTCCATGCCACGTCTGTGTCACGGTTTCTGAGAACCGTGCTTTCAGAGCACGAGGCACGTGGAATTGGGGCCCATGATCCATGACGGAATCGTCTGGGGGAATTCAGTGTGGAGGACAGAGGCTCATGGGAAAGACAATAATCGCCCAGTAGAGCAAGGACGACCCTGGGAAGTTAAAGGGGTCCCGTGTGGTGGGAGGGCACAGCACCCCTTGAGCTGATGAGTTTCAGGAAGGCGAATTTGGGGTCTAGGTAAGACAGCAGCTGCCACTGCAACTTCGCACAGACCGTGAGTGGGCTGGGAGGAGGAGATTCCGTGACCGTGATATTTGAGCCGAGGTGGAGGATGCGCAGGAAGGTCCATTGTAAAAGGGATTGATTTCCTCAGCGCATGTGAGCTGCACGTCTTGGAAGAGTCCATGCTTCAAGCACTTGCGTGGAAGAAGGAGTGAATTCTCCCACTTTTCTGATGATTTGACTACACACAGGTGTGAAAGGTTTTTTGTAAGCTAAGATGCGAACGTGGGGAAGGGGGCGCTGAGAGGTCTTGAAGAATGTCCTGTGGGCACTTGTGCTGCTCTGTGCCCCAGAGGCCAGTGAGTGGGCGGGGCTGGGTGAAGAGGGAGAGAAACTGGATGCACACAGTAGCAGGGGGTGGGCCTGTAGATTCTTGAGGTCCTTGTAAGGAGTTTGAGGGGTTTTTAAAAAGATTTTATTTATTTATTTTTTAGAGAGAGATGGGAGGGAGAAAGAGAGAGAAACATCAATGTGCGGTTGCTGGCAGCCATGGCCTGCAACCCAGGCATGTGCCCTGAAACCCAGGCATGTGCCCTGACTGGGAATCAAACCTGCGACACTTTGGTTCAAAGCCTGAGCTATGCCAGCCAGGGCTTGAGTTTGAGCTTTTTGCTAATTGCACTGGGAAAGATTTGAAGGTTTTATGAAGAGGAGAGGCCTGGGTATGGGTGGGTTTTATTAACCAGTGCCATGCCCTCAAGGTGAGAATGGAATATGAGGAAGTCAGAAGAAAGGTAGGAGACAGAGGTGTGTCCACTGTGATCCCGGAGCTGGGAGAGCAGATGGGCCTGGGAGATGGCATGAGCCGTGGGGAGCGGCCAGCCATCCCCTAGCTTGGGGCTATTTGTCACTCATCAAATACTGCGTGTCTGCGTTTTGCTAAGTATATATGGTCCGATCAGAGAGTCCTTTATAGTGGCAAGGCATTTTTCCCTCTGTGTGTGCTGTAATCAACCTTATTGATAAAATTGATCTCATTCTCCAGAAGACCCCTGGGTGTGACAGGTGACGTCAGGCTTTGCCGTCCTATTTATACGCATTCTCAAGAAGCACCAAACGTGAGTGCTGTGTCAGGAGCTGGGGGTGGAGCTCTATTCTACCAATGGGAGCTCCAAACGAGACTTTGTGCGGATCTCCGAGGGCCAAGAGAGTCCCAACAAAAGGCATTTCTAAGGATGGCCACCTCATGGAACCATCCAAAAATGCCGAGAACACCACTTTGGCTCGGAGAGGTTCGGATGTTACCCAACGTCGATTGGTTAAATTCACCCTCAGTGTCTTAGTTTTTCAGTAGCTTTTGAGAAGAGTCGCCTTTCCAGAATCCTTCATGCTTGTGTTCTCATCTTTTCTTACGACCGTCTTACCCAGGGTTCATATGTTCTCAGTTCGTTTGGGTGCCACGTCCAGGTGAGCTCAACAGTAAGGCTGAGTGAACAGAACTCTGGTTAGAGCACTGAGCCTTCCTAGTATCTGTACTTTTCAACACCAGCCTGTTCTAATTTTTTTAATCTTTGCCTGAGGATATGTTTTATTGATTGTAGAAAGAGGAAGGGAGAGAGAGAGAGAGAGAAACATCGATGTGAGAGAGAAACATCGATCAATTGCCTCCTGTATGCGCCCCGACAGGGGATCAAACCCACAACCTAAGTATGTGCCCTGACTGGGAATCGAACCTGTGACCTTTTAGTGTATAGGATGACACTCCAACCAACTGAGCCACCCAGACAGGGCAACATCAGCATGCTCTAAATCAACACTGAGATATTTGAAAGTTAGTTCTTGGAAGACCCTTCTCCAAAATTAGCACATCAAACAAGTCTATCAAAATATGGGTGAGCTCTTCCTTCCATTTCCCTGGTGACAGTGTCTTGAACCCATGCATAGACAAGATGATGCTTCATTTCCACCCCGTCCCTGCTTCTCTCTCCTGGCAGACGGCTACACCACAGACGACATTGAATTTTACTGGCGAGGTGGCGATAAGGCCGTCACCGGTGTGGAGAGGATCGAGCTTCCTCAGTTCTCCATTGTGGAACATCGCCTGGTCTCGAGGAATGTCGTCTTCGCCACAGGTGAGTCCTGCGTCCGCTCCCATGCCCTGGGGACCCTGGCCACCTGGGCTGTGGTGGTCCCCTTATGAAACACCCTGCAAGGGACTCCCGCCACTGGGTCAGCCACCGCAGTGCCATCATCAATAATCTGTTGTGGTAGGTGTCCCTTTTCTCTGTCTCCGAAGGGGACTGGTGAGCTTTGATGGGTAGAAGGTCTCTGGACCACGAGATGCTCCCTGGAGCTGGTTATTGAGAAGTTCAAAGACCGAAGGTGAACTCAGTCAACCCACATTTGGTAACGTAAGTTACTGCTCATTCTGGGTGGACAGGAGGCCACCCCTGGTCTTGGAGGCAGGAAGGAAGGAAGGAGGGAGGAGGACCTGGGTCGCTGGGTGCCATTCTCCCAGAAGTCAAAGACCTCTCTCCACTTCTGGGCTAGAAGCCAGCCTTGGTGGTTCAAGAACTTGAACTTGGACCATCCTCCATTAGACTCTTTAGACACGGTCATCTGCTGCTAATACAATCAGGTTACGGCCACCCCGGCCTGGGGTTCATTGCCATCTTTGTTTCAGCCGTCCAAAGACGGAGAAGGGATGCGCTCTCCTCTTCTGTTCTTGCCGAGGTTTTATTAAATTCCAGCTACATGTATTTCCCAGTGTGCCCTGCGCTCTCTGTATTCGTACTCGATGCTGTGTGTCGTAGCTGAGATAAACAAAGACACCAAGCTATAAGACATCATAAAGACCACAGACCCTCGGTTTGGATGCTCAGGGATGGTGAAGCTGGCACCTCCCACCTCCAATTCCTTCTGTCATTATAGCCCCAACAACAACCAGTGGGGGCGGGCATTAGCAGCAATTCACAATGCATGCTTTTAAAATATGCTCGGTGATAAAACTCTTAGATTATACAACCGTGTGCACAGAAGGCTTCGTAGAGGGAGGAAAAGGAGAGGAAGAGGGGACTGGCACTGATCGAGAGCATATTTTGGTCCAGAGAATGTATTTGGTACTTGATATAAAGTATAGGTAGTCAGTATTCTTTTTTTTTGCTTTATAACAGATTTATTGAGAAATCATTTACATGCCCTACCCTTTATCCACTTAAAGTGTGCAATTCCATGTTTTCAGTTCGGTTACAGAGGGGTGTGACCATGACCACCATCAGTTTCAGAATATTTTCAGCACCTGCTAAAAAAACCCTGTACCCATTAGCGATCACTCTCCCCCAGTCTGCCTCCCCTAACTCTGGGCAACTACTGATCTAATTCTATTTGTATGGATTTGCCTATTCTGTAGACTTCATGTCAGTGGAACCAGGCACTGTGTGTGTATGTGGCGTGGGGGTGGGGGGACTCTGTGACTGGCTTCTCTCACTTAGCACGATGTCTTCAAGGCTCATTCAAGTTGCAGCATGTGTCCTTACTTCATTCTTTTTCGTTGCTGTGTAATATTCCCTTGTATTCATATAGCCTATTTTGCTAACCATCCATGGGCTGATGAAAATTAGTGTTTGCAGTTCTTGGCTATTAAGAATAAGGCTGCTGTGAGCATTCACATACAGGTTTTTCTGTAGATATGTTTTTGTTTCTCTTAGGCACGTACTTAGGTTTGGAATTGCTGGGTCGTATGGTGATATGTTTAACCTTTTGAGGAACTGCCAAACCGTTTTCCAAACATTGGACACGCCCACAAGCAATGCGTGAGGGTTCCAATTTCTCCCCATCTTCACCAACACTGACTATTGTCTATCTTTCTTTTTTATTCTAACTGGAGGACATTTTTTATCACTTTTAGAGAGAGAAGAAGAGAGGGGGAGGGATAGAGAGAGAGAAACATCCACTTGGTTGACTTAGTTGCCTTCCATACATGCCCCAACTGGGGACCGAACCGGCACCTTGGCTACACATTCTGATCAGGAATTAAACCCACAACCTTTTGATCTACGGGATGATACTCCAGCCAGGATTGTTAGAATGTGATCACCCTAGGCTGAAGTGGTACCTCACTGTGGTTGTGATGTGCTTTCCCCTACCGTGTAATGACACTGAAGCATCTTTTCTAGGGCTCATTGGATATTTGCCTTATCTTCGTTGCAAATGTCTATTCAGATGCTTCCATTTGTGGATTGGACTGGCTGTGTTTCTTAAACCCTCTTTCTATATTCTGCATACAATTTCCTTATCAGATACACAATATGCAAACATTTTCTCCCATCCTGAAGGTTGTCTTCTCACGTTCTTGTAGAATCATAGCTTGTAATTTTGACGAAGTGTCCTTTATCTATTTTTTTTCACCCATGATATTCTTGTCCTGATCTCATACATGAGGGTATTTCCGAAACAATATCCCAAGTCAATCATGAGGGTGGACTTGGATAGGTCCAGCGCTCCTGCTCTTTGCCCCCAAGTCACGTGGTACAACCTGCAGATTTTACTGTGAGGACCAGAAAGAGAATCATTGCATGGTTCAGACAACCCGTGAAAAAAACTTCCTGAGCTCCAGCCCTGTTTTTCCTCTTCTCTCTGTGCTGTTTTATGTATCTCTTTTTCACCATGGATTTTTTTTAGAACATGTAATAACTAAGATGACTATTAATAAGAGTGAGAAAAGAATTTGGGGTTGTATTATAAAGTAAAAAGGTAGATCATAGTCCTGACCACTGGCTCAGTTGGTTGGAGCTTCGTCCCATATGCCAAAAGGTTGTGAGTTCGATCCCCAGTCAGGGCACAGACCGAGGTTGCGGGTTCCGACCATTGGTCATGGCTGGACATGTACAGGAGGCAACCGATCAATGTTTCTCTCTCACATCGATGTTTTTCTCCCTTCTCTCTGTAAAACCAATGAACACATCCTCCGGTGAGGATTTTCTTGAATAGGCAGATCATAAATGAAGGAGGCGGCAGCACGATAAAAACCCCAGAACAGTGCCTAGAGCTCTGGAAGTTTCTTAGGTGCGGCTGGGAGAGCCACGCACGGAGCTGCCTCTCAGGGGGAGCCACCCGTACATATAGGTCAGCGCTGCAGTTGTGCAAATATCCGCTCATTACTTTATAGATACATCGGAGCGGCTCTTACCCCTCCGCAAAGGGGACCCGCTGCTGTGTGCCTGCATCTTTACGAGTTCTTCAACGACCTTAATGCCTTAGAGAGCAATATTAATTTAGGCTGGAAGAGAGGCCCGGAGCCCCATTGTTGGCCCTGACTTCTGGCGCATCTGGGGAGAAAGCGTTGGACTCAGCATCTTCCCTGGCGAGCGCTGCCAGGAAGCCCGGAGTTGGAATGACGCCCCGGGGCTCGGGGACTGTCCCTGTCTGTCGGCTCAGCATCTGTTCGGAAACCGGACCGCGTCTGCATCGGCACGCAGGCTGCGGGGCTTCGGTGCCTGTCCGCTGGCGTTTTAACGCTTCTGTGGCTGTTCTGAAGGGTGTGTCTTGGGGCAGCTGACTCACCACTTTTGAACTCTACGTGATGAGCCGCTAGCTCGGAGCCCTGGGGAGTCCCACCCATAGACACAGCAGACATGGTGGAATACTTCTAACTATGCAATAAACAGGCTTTTCTAGGTTCATGCAATGGCGGAAGGCTTTGCTCAGATCAAGTCTTGATGTCACTGAGAATTCTGGCTTTGTCAACAAGCCGAGGTCGCTGGCTCCTGGTGTCTTGAAGCACAGGTGTATCTGAGATAGCCAATGATGGCCTCAGCATTTAGCTAGGCATTACGGTATATGAGCAAGCCATTACTTCACCAACGCTGCTTTGGGGACTGTCTGATTGACCAAGGAAGATCTTACCTTGGTCAATAGTCATAATTGTCATTTCAATGAGAACATAACTCAAGAGGAGAATCGCTTACCTTTGGAGGGAAGAAGAAAGGACCCACAGGAGATATGGCATGCGACCTAGGCCTTGGAGGACGGATAAGGGGAGACATTTCTGAAGGAGGGAAGAGGGAGTGTGAGTCAGCGGAAGCAGCCAACGTGGACAATGACTTTGAGGCAGCGGGGACGCTCTTTGGCTGGAAAATGTGCTGAATGCAGACACCGTGGTGGAATATGGAATTGGAGTTAATTTGGGAAAACATTTTGCAGAAACTGAAACTCCTGGATGAGTGTCGGCCCTTTCTGGGAAGCACTGGGCCAGCATATTTGGAGCTTGGGATGGCAGGGGGTGCGTGCTGGGGTCCTGGAAGGTGTGGGAGGAGCTGACCGCCAGGGAGTCTGGCAATGGTCACGCCCACGATGAGGCTCCGCCCAGTTCAATGGCGCAGCCTGCCAGTCACCTACCTACGCGCGGAATATAAACCACGGCATGTGTCAGATGTCTGTCAAGGAGGCTTTGTTCCATGGATGGTGTTGGAGAAATTGCTGAGCTGATTATAGAACAAAAATCAATGCGCACGTTCACTTGATAGCAAACACTAAAATATTTGCCAACTCTGAAAATAGGTTTTTGGTGGTTAGATCTCTATTGTGAACTTGCTGAAGCCCGAAAGGAAGCTTGAAAATAACAACAACAACAACAACAACAAAAATGGAATGACAGACTCAACTACACACAAGAATTGAAGTATTTATGCACCTTCCACTCAAACCATTATAAGCTCTGAAACAAACAACTGGGAAAATTTTAACACAGAATATAAACAAGGGCTATTCTTGAAAGTACTTCAGTGAATAGGGGAAAAACAGCAAGAGAGGAGAAAAAGGAGTAAATAGTGTAATCAGATCATGTATGAGATTAAATGCAGAGGAAAAACAAACATTTAGGAAGTATTCAACCAGAGTATTCATTCAGAGAACGGACGGATTTTTCCCATGGAAATTAACAGCAGTTCTTTTTAAGAAATGTGTCCAAGTTTACTGGGTAAGATAGGCCCTTCTCTGAAGTGCACACGGAGGATTGTACACAGATGTGATTTTTTCTCAAAATAATTTGGCAATACGTATGAAGAGCCTCACACATTGGCTCAGTAATTCCTCTTTGGCATGTTCATCCTAAGGAAATAAGTCTAAATATAGCAAAAGCAGTCTACTCAACAATATTCTTAAGAGTATTATGTATAATCTTGCAAAAATGGAAATAACCCAAAGTTATAACATTGAGAGAAATGTGTTTATAAACTGTAGGGGACACATGTACATATTGACATGCATGTAATGTAGACACGTGTGTGCACATTTGGAGAACTTTGAATGGCAATATGTTTACAAATAATTTGTAATAAGTATGAAACATTTTTGTTAGAATGACAGTGTGATATATGTGTTTGATCAGAGCCATGTAAGGAAACTACACACACACAGGTTTACACACATGGGATCATATATGAATGTACTGGTTTACACATACAGGCTCACACACACAGGTTTATACACACAGGCTCACACATGCACACACAGGTTGACATACAGAGATTAGACACACACAGGCTCACAAGCACACACACATGCATGCACAGGTTTCCGGTTTGCACACACAGGCTTACACACAAACACACACAAGCTGATGCACAGGTTCATGTGCACCCACATGCATGCACATATATTTACACACACAGCTTCAGAGACATCTGGGCCAGAGAAAACTTCCCAGGTGACCAACGCTGAAATGCTGGGTGTCTTCAATGATTTCATGTTTCCTTCATATCATTCTGGCTGAACATGGGGTTCATGCTATAGCAGGAGCATTGAGCTAAAAGTCCTCTTCTGCACAGAAGTCATTGTCACCTGAGTGAATCAGACAGCCAAAGGAAAGAACAGAAAGACTGCCACAGAAAGGACCATGCAGTGAAGTTGGGGACGTGCATATAGGTGGGGGCAGAAGAGCGACCTGCCAGGCTGAGGTGGAAAGAGGGTACTGAAGGCAAGGTCTCCACTAGGGTCAGTGATGTCAGGCAGAGAGCTCTGTACGTTAGGGAGCGTGGGAGGGAGAACCCGGGAAGTTGATTGGAGGAGCCCATTGGGTTTTCACCAGTTGACCTTCGTTCAGCTCCGTCAGAGTCCTGAGGAGCTGAGAGACTCAGACTGGATATAGTTCACTATTGAAGCAGGGAGGAGGCTCAACTTGCCTTGCTCCAAGAAAAACGAATCCAACAGGAAAGGCCTATGCAAACATGAACATGGCATCATCCGGGGACTTGCTCCTCATGCCGCAGTGGCAGTTCTCGTTGGTTCCAGGAACACACACGTCACGTTGGCACTGGGACTTGCACACCAGGGAGCAGATGACACACTTCTTCCCAGGCAGCCCGCCATGCCCGTGCTATGGTTGGAGTGGAGCATGTCAGTGTAGCTGCTACCTTCTGAGAGGCTGGACCTTCTTCTGTGCACAACCTCCCAGCTCTTAGGGTGCCCCCAAGTGATCCCAATCAATGCAGCGTCAATGCCTCAACACCTGTGCACAGTCACACATCTGTGCACCCTGTCACTCTGGATGGGCTGCTAGGTGACACCTTGTAAAAGCCATTTGGCTCCATAAAACCTTGAGCCAAGTCTTCCTGTCCATACAGAGAACAGTACAGCAATTCATTGAAAAATAAATATTTGCCATGATGTGTGTTCAAAGCTAAAAACCTTTCCAAAGTTTGCCAGGGGTAGTCCTCAGCTGAGTGCCCTGCCTTAGTAGACTATCGTCATCATTACCTTATAAATAGACGGGAGGATGTTCTCCACCAGCTCTGCCCCCAACACTGGCAGGCAGGCAGGCAGATGTGAATGGTACGGCTGGGGACCACGCCTCAGTTCACGGGCTTCTCAAATGCACGCCATTGACCCATGGAAGTCAAGGCAAACTCATGTCTGCCATGCATCCTGGGCAGTAACCTCTGTCTGTTTCTGCAGGTGCCTACCCTCGGCTCTCACTGAGCTTTCGGCTGAAGAGGAACATCGGATACTTCATTCTGCAGACGTACATGCCCTCGATACTCATCACCATCCTCTCCTGGGTGTCCTTCTGGATCAATTATGATGCATCTGCGGCTAGAGTTGCCCTTGGTACGTGCTGTTTGAAAGGGATACCCAAACTGGGAAGACACCATGTCACTAGGGCATCAAGGAGTTCAAAGACCACAGTTCAATGACTGTGTCCATCATGACACCAGGCTAACCCACAGTGTCCCTTTCCATCCCGAAGCACTCATTTCACGCACGATTGCTTTGATGTGCTGTTAATTTAATTATCAGGCTCCAATGTGAATTTGCATGCCCACGCCAGGGAAAATATGCTCGCTGAATATTTGCATAATAAAACTATTTCTGACACCAAGTTTAAAGCAAGGATTAGCATCTCCTATTCAGGGTTATTCTGTGGCCCAGAAAGGAGACACAGTTAATTGGGCATTCTTCTTCTTTTTTAAGTCAGAAAAGTAGTCAAATACTGTAGCATGTAATTGGAATTAGACAATTTAATGAGCATTAACATATGTGATTAGATTCTAGGGGATTCTCGAGAGCTCTGGTGGTCTTCTCTGGGGACCGATTGATTATTTGATAATTATCAGCTGATATGCAATAAGTCCCCATGTTATCCCTTATACATATTGATGATGGAGGGAAGGCTTATATTTTCAGAAAGATTATTCTCTACTCAGCTAATTATTATGAAAACATATGGGCAAAATAAACATTCAAATACATTTTAGGTAAGTTCAGAGCTGAAGAGCAAGTATTATAGTCCCTCACTTCTTTTGAGGGGGGCAGTAAATTTAATTCCTGAAAGTAGAATTATCAATACTACTTTTTAAAATTGGTTGAAACCACCTGGCTGGCATAGCTCAGTGGATTAAGCATGGGCTGTGAACCAAAGTGTCGCAGGTTTGACTCCCAATCAGGGCACATGCCTGGGTTGCAGGCCATGGCCCCCAGCAACCGCACATTGATGTTTCTCTCTCTCCCTCTCTTTCTCCCTCCCTTCCCTCTCTAAAATAAATAAATAAATAAATAAATATAAATAAAATCTTTTCAAAAAAGACACAATCTTTAAAAAAAAATTGGTTGAAACCAATGAATACATTTGCTGGTAAGTCAGCTCACAGAGAAGTATGAGAATTCAGGGTCCCAGTTTTCCCTCTTTCTTCCTTTTGCTGTTCTTCATCTTTTCCCAGGATTTGAGTTGGTTAAGCTTTTTTTTCTGGGAGACTGTGTGTACATGCATGCAAGTGAGTGTGCCACTTTAGATGCATAGGTATGTGCATTTGCACAGTCAGATTCAAGATTAGGTGTTTGCCCTGGCCGGGTATTGTCCCGATACACCAAGGTCATGGGTTCAATCCCCAGTCAGGGCACATACAAGAAACAACCAATGAGTGTATCAGTAAGTGGAACAGGAAATAGATGTTCTCTCTCTCTCAAATTAATTTAAAATTTTACTTAAAAAGATAAGATATTTTTCTCATGCAATACACATGGCAATGACCTAAGACACTGAAGTAGCTATTTCTAAAGATGTTAGTTGAATTTGAAAATCACTTTGTTGGGTGACTGGATAAAGCAGATGTGGCACATACACGATGGAACAGTACTCAGCCATAAGAAGAGATGACACACTGCCACTGGTGACGACACAGTGGACCTTGAGGATATCCCGCTAAGTGAAATGAGTCAGACAGAAAAAGTTAAGAACCGTATGATTTCACTCAGATGTGGGATGTGAAACTGAAAGCAACAAATGAACAAACAAGAAAAGCAAATAAACAAAAACTTATGGACACAGACAACAGTATGGGGGTGACCAGAGGGATGGGGTGGGGGTGTGAGGAGGGTAAAGGGGGTCAAAGATATGGAGACAGAAGGAGACTTGACCTTGGGAGGTGGGCACACAGTACAATTATATAGATGATGTGTGGTAGAAGTGTACCCTTGAAACCTGTATAATCTTATGAAGCAAGGTCACCCCGATAAATTTAATTTAAAAAACCACCTGGAGAAGAAAGTATCAAAGAGCTGAACATAATGTACTAATTGTTATATATGGGATCTGGCACAAATAACACCCCCTTTTTATTACAAAATCTTCTATTACAAAATCATAAGCATGTCATCCTGTAACATAACAGGATCACACTCAAGCACACCATGGGACATTTTAGGTGACATGTTCAAGTTGCTGTCCACCTCGTGCGAGACATTCACGTTCCCTACCAACCACACTCCATGGTCTTACTTCTGCTGGACCCTGTATTTCTAATGCATATAGTACTATATTAATCTTTGTTAAACTATCTTCTCTTCTTCTCACCTGGAAGAGTCAGAGCTGAAATGAATTTGTAGGGGCAGATACAGATTTTGCAGAGCTATTCCCATAGACAATTCCAGGGGGCTCTTTTCAAAAAGGAATAAAAAATATAGAAATACAAACTCACGGGACAGCCTCCGCCCCCAGGCTGGACAAGGCCCGTGACCTGAAGCTGAAGCTTCATGAGCTTCATAGTGAATTGGCCCCAGATCTTTTTGTTATTGTTGAGAGAATTAAAAATATGAGCACCAGAGACCCATAATTATCTGCATTAGTAGGAGTGAGGTGCTCTGAAAAAATGCACATTTCTCAATTTTCTCAGTATAAAAATTCTATAGCTCCTTAATGATCAAACATTGTCTTCCACAATCATTAAAGAGATAGTCTCTCTGAAGTGGGTTGTAATAAACCCAACCTCGTCACACTGCATGAAAGCAGATATTTTTTTTTAATTGCATTTGTTGGGGTGACGCTGGTTAATAAAATTATATAGGTTTCAGGTGTCCTATTCAATCACACATCATCATTGTACTGTACTGGGTGCTCACCTCCCCAAGCCAGTCTCCCTGCATCACCATGTATTCCCCCTTCACCTTCTTCTGCCCATCCCCACCCTCCTTTCCCTCTGGTGATCGCTATACTATTGTTTTCTATAAATTTTATTTATTTATTTTTGCTCAATCCCTTCCCCTTTTTCACCCAGGCCCCCAGCCCTCCTCCCCTTTGACAGCTGTCAGTCTGTCCTCTGTATCCATGACTCTGTCTCTATTCAGTTTGTTAGTTCAGTTTGTCCATGAGAGTCTACACATGAGTGAAATCATATGGTATTTGTCTTTCTCTGACTGGCTCATTTCACTCAGCATAAAAATCTCCAGGCTCATCCATGCTATTGCAAAGCGTAAGATTTCTTTCTCTTATGGCCAAGTAGTATTCCATTATGTCACTTTTCTTTTTTAATCCTCACCTGAATATATGTTTACTGATTTTAGAGGAAGGGAGGAGAGAGGGGTAGGGAGAGAGAGATGAAAGAGAAACATTGATCAGTTGCTCTAGTATGTACCCCAGCCGGAGATGAAACCTGAAACCCGGGTATGTGCCCTGATCAGGGATAGAACTTATGGCCTTTTAGTCCACAGGATGATGCTCCAACCAACTGAGCCACACCAGCCAGGGCATGCTCTGTACCTTTTTAGGGGGGATATGGTCATGCTTTTGGAGGCCTTCATTTGGAGAAATTCCTCCCACCACACTCACAGCCTTTGAAATGATCAACGCATCTCATTTTTAAAATTTTTATTTATTGATTTTTAGAGAGAGAGAGAGAGAGAGAAAGAAGAGAGAGAGATCAATTTGTTGTTTCACTTATTAACACATTCATTCATTGCTTCTTGTATGTGCCCTGACCAGGGATCGAACCCTCGACCTTGGTGTATCGGGAGGATGCTCTAACCAACAGAGCTACCCGGCCAGGGTCCTCCAGCTTTTTGTTAAGTGAGTTCTTAATCGTTCAAGTCTACATGGACAGGTGCTCAGCAGAGGCCCCCCGATGGCACTGTCCCTCGGCTAGGGGCTCGGCCAGAGCTGGGGTTGCCTGGGCTTGTCTTTCTGCTGCAAACATTGGTTCTCACCCAGCTGAGCTGCACCACCGTCTGTGCATCTCAGAATTTTATGCTTCTGCTGCCCAGGGTGTGGCCCCAGCTGCACTGACCTGTTAGTGTCAGAAGCCACTGGTCTGCGATGCAGGACACTATAATCTCAAAACCCTGGCGTATCCTCACCCATGAAGAATAGCATCCATCCTTCTTTTTTTTTAAGATTTTATTTATTTATTTTTAGAGAGGGAAGGGAGGGAGAAAGAGAGAAACAGAGAGAAACATCAATCTGCAGTTGCTGGGGGCCATGGCCTGCAACTCAGGCACGTGCCCTGACTGGGAATGGAACCTGTTATGCTTTGGTTTGCAGCCCATGCTCAATCCACTGAGCTACACAGGCCAGGGCTGTGCATCTGTCCTAAAAGCGAGATGGATGCTAACACAATGGAGGCCATGGGATTTTGATCACGGAGAAGAGAACTAAGACAGCTACTGATTCAATAATGTAAATTATACTCATATGTGTGTATCAGTCATCGTTACCAATGAAGTTTTTCAAATATAATGTTTCATGAGCGTCATCTCAGTGAGAAATGGTTTGAGGCCAAGAGTTAGTAGAAAGACTTCACAGCTCGGTCCAGAGCACGCAGGAGGTTCCTCCGCCCAGCCATGTCGGATGGGTCCCCCCTAGGCGAGGCTACTCAGAAACCAGAGGCAGTGAAGACATTTATCTTTCTGTAATGATGGTGATGAGTGTGATTGATAATGTGAACCTATCAGAATGCTGCCACTGCTTCTCTGGCATTGCCTATACCCTTCACAACAGCCCTATGAGGGGTGTCCCACCTTTTGGGGTCTCTGGGCCACACTGGAAGAAGAAGTGTAGTCTTGGGCCACACGTAAAATACACAAACACTAACAAAAACTGATGAGCAAAAAAAAAAAGGGTTTAAGTACATTTATGGATTTGTGTTGGGCTGCATGTGGCCCGCGGGCAGCGGGTTGGACACTCCTACGATGGGAGTGTCCCCAGAAGGGTCTCTGGACCCTTCTGGTCTGAGAGGTCACACCCCTGGGAAGTGGCAGTGCTGAGCTTTGGGTCTGGTTGCGTGCTCCCAGGCGCCTGGTGATCCAGGCTATGACCCCGTATCATCCACCCCCCCCGCCAACAGCATCCAGATACACAGTAGAAGGAATCAGCAAAGGCAGCAGCCTCCTAAGCTAAGAGATCACGTGAGCCCAAACCCGAACGGCTGGAGCTCCTACCCCAGCATCTCCCTGCTCGGGGCTCCTGGAGCGCCTACCAATGGGCGCAGGCCTGCGTCCTCACCCGTTCGAGGGCCACATTTACCAGGCCGATTGCCTGTGACAGGTACTGCCTCTCCCTCTCCCTGGATTCTTCCTGCCCCTTTCCTGGCGGGGACATCTACGGAGGCCTGTGTTGTGCATGTCCACTCAAAATAGTCACCTGGAGCGCCGACCAGCCCCTCAGGCAGAGCCTTCCAGCCCTCCAATCCATGTGGAGGTGAAAAGGCATAGTAGCAGCCACCTGAAACTCGTTTGAATAATGGCGAGAACGCCTCATTTTGTAGCACCTGCCCGGCATTTCCTCATTTACTTGTGAACTCTCATGAGCCCATTGCCATTTTCAGATTTCAGAAGTCCCCAGGGACATGTGATGTTATGTTTAAGGAGAATCTTAACCTATTCTGACGTCATTGATCTCCGTGCATGCCCTCAGCAGTCATGCTGAGCTAGTTTGATTCCCGTCAGGACACGTGCCTGGGTTGTGGGGCCAGGCGCCCAGTAGGGGGCGCTTGAGAGGCAACCACACATGCATGTTTCTCTCCCTCTCTTTCTCCTTCCCTTCTCTCTCTCTCTCTCTAAAAAAAAACAAAAAACGTCATTTTCTTTCTCATTGAGCCTCGCTAACAGCCTTACCTCCCCAGCCCTAGATGCCTTCTTAGGTCCTCAGACTCTTCCTAGATTCACTCTTCTTCCCAGAAGTTTTTCACCTGGACACTCAGCATTTTACATGAAACTCCGGGTATATTTTCATTTCTTCCAAGTTCCGCCACGAGAACCGTCCCTTCTGCCTCCCTACACCTCTCTCCCTCAGCCTCAGATCCATTCTGTCTGTGAACCCGCTGAGGTGGCGTGGTGCCCAGCAGGGAGGACAGATACCAGCATCCTGACTCGTGGCTCAAGGTGTGGCCTGCTGCCCAGAGACACACCCTATTCTGTATTGCGTTACGGTCACCCAATAATAACCAACCCATTATTTCTTTCTTTTAAAGATTTTATTTATTTCTTTTTCAAGAGAGGGGAAGGGAGGGAGAAATAGCAATGTATGGTTGCCTCTAGCGTGCCCCCTACTGGGGACTTGGCCTGCAACCCAGGCACATGCCCTGACTGGGAATCGAACTGGTGACCCTTCGTTCGCAGGTCGGCACTCAGTCCACTGAGCCACATCAGCCAGGGCAAACCCATTATTACTAGCTGCTTCGCGCTGTTGGAGAAAATCCAAAGGGAAAGTGAACAGTGAGGAACAGAGGGGAGAAGCTTCGGTCGCTCACCCCTGTGTTTCCTTTGCAGGGATCACGACGGTTCTCACCATGACCACCATCAACACGCACCTTCGCGAGACGTTGCCCAAAATCCCCTACGTCAAAGCCATCGACATGTACCTCATGGGCTGCTTTGTCTTCGTGTTCCTGGCCCTGCTGGAGTACGCCTTTGTCAACTACATTTTCTTCGGAAGAGGCCCCCAGAGGCAGAAGAAGCTTGCGGAGAAGACAGCCAAGGCCAAGAACGACCGTTCAAAGAACGAAGGCAACCGGGTAGGCCGTCTGCCATCTTGACTGCCCACCCATTCCAACCACCCATCCCATCCACCCTGACCCTGGGGCTCATCCATCGCTGGGGTCACTCACGTGACCCTTGAGCAGGTGTTATGTGGAGATGTCAATGATAACCTGAAAGGTTGCCTTAAGCAAGTTACTGAATTTTTTTAAATAATGTGTTAAATCTTCACCCAAGGAGATGTTTATTGATTTGAGAGAGAGAGAGAAAGAGAGCAAAACATCAATGTGAGAGAGAAACATCAATCAGTTGCTTCTCATACACTCCCCAACCAGGGGTCAAATCCACAATCTAGGTATTATGTGTCCTGACCAGGAATTGAACCCACAACCTAATGGTGTATGAGATGACGCTCCAGCCAACTGAGCCACCTGGCCAGGGCAAGTCCCAGAGTTTTACATACAGCCAAAATCATTGCAGAAGTGGGGAGGCCAAAGCTCCCCAGTTTCCTAGGGAAAGAATAAGATGTGTAGATACCGAAACAAATGACACTCTGAGGTGACACCATGACAAACCTGGTGAGACCCAGCATGGCACTTTTCTGTGGACACTGTGGGCAAACCCCTCTCTGGTCCCCAGCTAGCACAGTCTCCTGGTTCAAGGTCTTTAGTTCAAGGCAGGAGCAGCGCCCTGCCCTGGGGCTGTCACAGACTGGCCCTAGTCCCAGGACCTGCTGGGTGCAGCGAGACCTGAACGGCAGTGGCCAAGGGCTGTGCGCTGCTTTCGGAAGGCCCCGGGGCCACACACATACTCCAAAGGAAGCGTAACGTAGCCCTGCCCCCTCCATCCCAGCTCAGCAAGCTCTTCCATCTTTCCAGTTACAGAGCAACTTTGCCATTAGATGCCATTTTGGTTTATTATTTTTTTTAAAGCAATATGTTGTTACAATGATATACAATATTTTAGTGAAAGCACATTATCGTTTCTACATCATTTTTGTCTCAGTCTTTCCATGCCTTACATCCCAGAAAGTCCTCAAAAATATATTTCCAGCCCTGGTTGCTATGGCTCAGTTGGTTGAGCATTGTCCCATAACCAAAGGGTTGTGGGTTCAGTTCCCAGTCAGGGCACATACCTAGGTTGGGGTTTGATCCTTGGTCCAGGTGCAAGGGAGGCAACCAAAGGATGCTTCTCTCTTGTATAGCTGTTTCTGTCTCTCCCTTCCTCTCTCTAAAAATAAAATAAATAAAATCTTTTTTAAAAAAGAGAGACACTAGACTTCATCACACCATTATTCTTTCCGCCACACAGACACACAATGCTATTTTTCCAACTTTTCTCGTAACTTAAATTACAAATTTGTTCCCTTTCTTCTAAATGACACCATTTAGAACAGTCAAATTGTGTGGAAGAAATACCTTTTGGGGCATGAAGCATACACTTTTAAACAAAAACCCCAAATCTCTCATATCCACAGAGAGAATTAATGTAATATAGAAAGAATATATTATAAATCAGACCCAGCAAAAAATTTTAGTTCATTTGTGATCCACCTTTATTGTTTGTTTTTCTGAAAATGTGTTTCTGTTTTCCGAGCAGTTTTGTTAAAGCCTTTACATGCTCATATTTTTTATGTGTAATCGTAGATCGACTGTGAAGGTTTGAAGTCAACACACAAATGCATGTTTTTTATTTACTTTTTTAAGATTTTATTTATTTATTTTTATACTGAGGGGAAGAGAGGGAGAGAAACATCAGTGTGTGATTACCTCTCGAGCTCCCCCTACTGGGGACCTGGCCTGCAACCCAGGTTTGTGCCTTGACTGGGAATTGAACCAGTGACCCTTTGGTTCACAATTCGGCACTCAATCCACTAAGCCACACCAACCAAGGCTATTAATTAATTTATTTTTTTTACAAATGCATGTTTACTAGTTGGTTTTTCTTTTATTTTTTGCAAGAAAAAATAACCAAATTTAACACATCTGTATGTATGGGAACCCACATACATGAGAGAGTCAGACCCCACGTGCAGGAGAGGTTCAGAGATAGAAATGATGACTGAGTCTATAAGACATCCTGAGCTGAGATGACGTCATGCGCCTTGGGGGCTTCCAAGGGTCATTGCAGGATGATAAGAAGAGACTTGAGAGTAAATAGAAGTTCGCTCTGCCCTACCCGTGGTTCTCTCTGATCACCTCCCAGGATGGGCAAGGCCGCTGATTCAGGCGCTTCTAGCGGCACAACTTTCTCTTGAGCCTGTGGCTCAAGTGGCTTTCAGCTCGAAACCACGTGCAAGCCACAGAGACTCACGTTCCAGAAGCTTCAGTGCGCATGTGATGCTCTTTAAAGTCCGCATTCAAAACTGTGGCTGACTCCCAGACCTGAGAACGTAGTGACCATTGTAATTAGAAGTCAGCCTCCCCCAAACAGTCCGCATCACAGGATGTGGATGAGTGACAGGAAAAGGAGGAAATAAACCACAAACGTTATGCAAAACCAAACCGTGGATGGGCTGACGTCTTCGTAGGCTCTTCATAACTATCGTCAGTCACGCATTTTCAGGGAGATCTCTGAGGACTGTTTGCCCACCTGGGCTTGGGGAGTCCCCTTGTGTTACAGAGGCGAGCCCTCAGGATGGGGAGGGGGTCTGGGGGGCACTTAGATGACAGCAGGGACTTGAGCTGTCACTGTCTTTCCTGAGACCGTGGGTCACCATGAGGGGCGTCAGCCCTCAGAGGCTGTGTGGGCCACCAAGGGCAGATCTGGGCCACCAACAGCTGCCTTTGGGACCCTGATTTGTCAATCCTTATACCCAGTGGTTGTACAATATTCTAACTTGGGGATTGATTCAGCAATGCTGGGCATGGCCACAGAGTGCCTCACATTCTGCTCCGACCAGTGGTGCCACGTCCATCTTGACCCTCGTTTATTGGTGCTTAACCTCTATTCGTTCCGAGTTGCTTCTGCGCCCTGGAGCTAGTCAGGCCGCAGTGATGGTCACCGGCCTTGTGATACTCTGCAAGGTGACCAGCTGGCATTTGAATTTCATGAAGTGGCAGAAAGTCATCATTCTTGCAAGATGGACATTAGTCCTCTTACTAAAGAGCTGGATGCCACCCCCCCAATGACAAATACTTTCTTATTTCTTCTAAAACTAGAGTGTTTTACTTATGTACAGGCTTGGAGGTAAGGAGTGAATGAGATCTCTGCTGTGTTTTTAGGAAAAAAGAAAAATCCCTCTGTGATATATTTTGCATGGGATTTTTTTTTAATTTAAATGTTTACATCTGTTAAGGTTATGGAGCAGAAAGAAAACATATGTTGAAATCAATTATTCTAATTATAGTAGATTGGAGATACACTCTTCAAACTAAGAAGTATTCATGAAGTGCTTTAAAAAGGCAAGTTATCTATCATTCTGTACAGTGCATTTCAGTATTATATTAGACCCACGATCATTTCTATTGGTTTCAATATTTAAATTCCAGCCCTGGCTGGGTAGCTCAGCTGGTTAGAGCATCTTCCTGATTCGCCAAGGCTGCAGGTTCGATCCCCAGTCAGGGCACATATAAGAATCAACCACTGAATGCATGGATAAGTGGAACAACATAACAAATTGATGTTTCACTCCTCTCTTTCTCCCTCTTTCTAACAAAATCAATAAATAATGTGTTTTACATATTTAAATTCTAGATGGTAGGAAAACATTGGTATACATATTTTCGACCCACAATTGGGAATCCCCCAATCTAAGCGATACTTGTGTCTTCAACTGCAATCGGCACCCCAAACCCCTTCCCTGCTCCCCCCACCTGCACTGTTCAAGGGTTAACAGTATCTGTTTAATATATTTGACTTCTAAGACTTAACAGATTTTAATAACCCTTTAATTCTTTCAGGAAAAAAAAATACCTTTTCATAATTTTGGTGGACATTTTCTTCACACTGGTTCTTGTTTAAATGAAAACTGTAAGTTGAAAGGGGCCAATCAGGTTTGCAGTAAGGTCTTACTAATTAGATACACATCCCATTCCCTCCAGTATTTTCCTTTCCATTACAAGCATTTGCTAACTCTGAGATAGGAATGATGTAAATTGTATCGGTTCCAGAATCGACCAACAAATGCATCAGTGGAACAAAGCAATGTCTCTCTCTCTCCTTTAGTAAATAAAATTAGTAAATAAAACAAAATTAGTAAATAAAACAAAAATGTAAAGGTAGCCGTAAATATCCAAGGTGCTCAGGCACACTCTGATTTTGCACATTACTGACGGATAGGTAGGAAATCGGTTTGGCTTCCCTGAGACTAAGTTCCCTTCTCAAGAGTTCAGGGCACAGACTTAGAGCCCCCGCCCCGGTCAGACCCTTCCCAAAAGCATAGAAAGACAGGGCATCAGCCCTGGCTGGCGTAGCTCAGTGGATTGAGTGCGGACTGTGAACCAAAGTGCTGCAGATTTGATTCCCAGTCAGGCCACATACCTGGGTTGCAGGCCACAGCCCCCAGCAACCGCACATTGATGTTTCTCTCTCTCTTTCTCCCTCCCTTCCCTCTCTAAAAATAAATAAATAGAATCTTAAAAAAAAAAAAAAGAAAGAAAGACACGGCATCAAATCGTGCCAATGGGTCATTACATGTCAGAAAACCATCGTTCACTTGACTTCATCTCGTATGCTTTCTTTCCTCTCCTTGGGCACCCCCTGGAATCACCATAGGCATTACGATCTCTTTGCCTTGGAGTCTGTCGTCCCAGAATCCCTTTTGTCTTTGCCCACATCCTCCCTCCCACAAGACTTAAGACGGACACTCTTCTTTGTGACACTCTGCTTGCTTTTTTTTTGACTACTATTGGCTCCCATTTTGCCTCTGTCATTGCCTACGCCCACCAGTTGGGTTTGTCCCCATTTTCCCATGGGAAGTGCCCTGCTTCTGAGATGGCAGGTCACATTCCAGGTGGCCGCCATGCCTCCTTGACTGCATGGCACCCGGTGCTTTGCAGTTGTCACAGTGCATGGCCTGTGGCCCAGACGTGTAAATGTCCATGGGGACGTGTATGTATGAACAAGGGGTATTTACTACCAGGTCATTTCCAGTGTGAGGTGATATTAACTTTCCTTGTTAGAAGTGAAAAAACTCCTCTTTTTCAAGCCAGGGGAAACTGAGTCATTAGAACCATAGAAGATCATCTCAATAAACACGTCACAAAATACTCCCTTCTTGCCCTTTAAGGAAAGACATTTCTTTTTTTTTTAATATTTATTTATTTTTAGAGAGAAGGGAAGGGAAGGAGAGAGGGAGGGAAACATCAATGTGTGGTTGCCTCTTGAGCGCCCCCTACTGAGGGCCCAACTTGGCTCACGACCCAGGCATGTGCCCTGACTGGGAATCGAACCCAAGACCCTTTGGTTTGCAGCCCCTGCTCAATCCACTGAGCCACACCAGCCTGGGCAGGGAAAGACATTTCTTTATTTAGGTTTTTGTTCTACAGAGTTATTTATGATAATCACCTAGATTTTGATACAACTTTTGACATGGCATTTTTGATAACTAGGAAGGATGGTAATGTAGGTATGTTTTTAAAAAAGTGTTTGAAGTGCAATGGGCAGGTTTTCAATTCTTTTTTAAATCCTCACCCAAGGATGTGTTTATTGATTTTAGACATAGAGGAAGGTGAGAGAGAGAGAGAGAAACATTGATCAGTCGCCTCTAGTACACGTCCTGACTGGGAATCGAACCCACAACCCTTTGGTGTTCAGGGAGATGCTCCAACCAGCTGACACACCCAACCAGGGAGGAATATGCAGATTTTTAGAAATGCATTTGTTCTTCATTTGAAGCTGTGTCCTGCTAGACATCTCCAGGGCAAGGAACTTCTCTTGGTCCTGTGCGGCCTCTCAGCCATCACAGGGCACGGCACACGGCAGGTGTGCAGGAGTGTCGGCATGAACAATCTGGGGGAAGGATCCCCATCCTCCAAGTGCGTGTCCTCAGTAACACATCCCACTTTCCCGAATGGTCGACGGGCTTTTCATCTCATGGTTTTGTTGTGTCTAAAACGTTACTTAGAATGTAGAGAAGTTTTTGTGGGGGGTTTTTTAGCTAAATATTTTTTTTCTACCTTCAGGAAAGGGTTCATTCTTCCAAGTTTGTAATCAATCACTTATTGAAAAGAATACATTTGACATTACTACTTAAAAAAAAAAAAAGCGTCTTCTGCCCTAGCTGTGTAGCCAGTTATGCGTCATCCAGCAAAGCCAAAGATCGCCAGTTCGATTCCCAGTGAAGACACGTGCCTGGGTTGAGGGGTTCAGTCCCCAGTTGGAGTGCAAAGGAGAAGCAACCGATTGATATTTCTCTCTCATGTCAGTGTTTCTCTCTCCCTCCCTTCCCCTCCGTCTAAAAACTGCTGGGAAGGAGCTTACACACACATCCCACTAGGGACTCGGAGCCTCGGGGCCGCTTTGCTCAAAGTTCAGTAACCAACAGACAGACCATTGGCGTGGCCCTGAAGGGTCTGAAGCGACATTTAGCACAGAAATAAATGTTTTTGTTTTCAAGTTTGGCTCCAATAGGGGACTTCATTCTCTCCTAAACATAACTAGGACCAGGAGGTTGTGCAGGGCGGACCTGGGGGCGGGAACGGGGTCTGACTCTACCCACCGCAGTCCTGCGCCATCACTGGTTTCTGCACTGAAATGTGGGTATTTTTATAGCATCAGAAAAGGGGACAAGTTGACCTCCAAAAACAAAAAAAACAAACAAAACAAAACAAAACAAAACAAAAGCTGGAAGAGTCATTTCTCTTCAGCCTACAGTTGTGAAAAAATTGTTGTTACACCGAAGTTAATCTCTTGAAAGGCATCCGTCCCTTCATTTTCTCTTTAGTAAGGGCATGTATGTACAATGAGAAATCCCCACTTGAAAAAGCAACCCCCCTCCCCTTAGTTTGTCTAATCTGCTCCGTGAGAATGTTTACATGGGGAAATAAACTCTCCAAACCGCCGCTGAACCTCCAAAGGGGCATTTCCCACCGCAGCCGAGCGCAGTGCCCGGTTTGGCAGGCGCGCCCAGGCCCAGACTCTCCGTGGCGCAGCGGCGCGCCCGCTCCGCCCCGGGCTTGCGGGGCCAGGACGGCGTGCCCGCAGGCCGGCTCACGCGCTCCTTCTCTCCCGGCAGGTGGACGCGCACGGGAACATCCTGCTGACGTCCCTGGAGGTCCACAACGAAATGAACGAGGTGGCGGGCGGCGTGGGCGAGACGCGGAATTCAGCAATATCCTTCGACCACTCAGGAATCCAGTACAGAAAACAGAGCGTGCCTCGGGAGGGGCACCGGCACTTCGGGGACAGGGGGCTCGCGCACAAGAAGACCCACCTGCGCAGGAGGTCTTCGCAGCTCAAAATCAAGATCCCCGACCTGACCGACGTGAACGCCATAGACCGGTGGTCCAGGATCGTGTTCCCCTTCACTTTCTCCCTTTTCAACCTGGTTTACTGGCTGTACTATGTTAACTGAGTGACTGTACTTGATTTTTCAAAGACTTCATCTAACACCGAGTGGAATATTACTTTGCCTGTCCAGTTTTTATACCTGTACACACACGCACACACACGCACACACACGCACCTATATACATACGCAATTGTATATATATGTGAACTTTCTCAGCATATATATAAAATACACGTGTATATGAGGATGTATGTGTATATGTTTTTCACACGCGGGTGTAAGCGCCTGTGTGTAGGTAAAACAAATACACATACATACATTTTGCAGCCTTGGACAAATTTAACACAGGATGCATATTAAAGAAAGTCATAGTTCTTTTTTTTTTCCTTCTTCATTGAAAGGGACGAGCATTGCCTAACTATTATGCCTTGAGAATGAGGGCGCAAAACATGATGTCATCCCAAACTCTCTCCTTTCCTGTCCTAAGTTAGCCGTTTCAGTTTAAAGCTCAGAAAGACGCTCTTTAACCTTCAGAAACTCATACGGCGCTGTTGATACTTCCAAACCGATCACCCACTTCATACCCTCTCTTTCAGTTTACTAAGCGAAGGCTTTTCGGCTTTCTCGGCGATGGGCTTTCTCTGCTTGGACGTGTGTCTCTGTACTGGTCGTGTGGGTGAGGTCACGGGCCCACCCGCCGTCTTAAACGTAGCTAGCGCCCACGCGGACGTCCGAACACCCGTCCTGGGAAACCCGCTCGCGAACGGACGGCTTCTCCTTGTAAGTACTCCACTACTGTACAGTGTCTCTTTGTGTTCACGCCGCGTGGACCGGCTCGCCTGTCCCGTGGGGACTCGGTGGCGACGTGCGGTTGCCACTTCGATCACTGAAAACGTGTTCCACGTCTCCTGGACGGATTTCCGGGCCTGACATTTCACGGGAAACATAGACGTCTCAGGTTATCTGTTCCTCTGAGGTCAAACCATCTAGGATGACGTTCCCCCTCGTCTCTCCATCACCGCTCCCTCTTTATAAATAACATTGTATGTTACTCGGAAATATATTTGCATAATATGCATATGTATGTATATTTGCCAGATTTCGGTTCTTATGCTCGCTCTCACGGCAGCATGCGATGTCCTATTTTTTTTTTCTGTGATTGTGACTCCTTTCTGTCATCTAGAATATTCCGATTGAAGCTAAAACACTTCTGTTCCATGTTGGAAACCAAGAAACATCCTCATGCCTTCATTTCCGCATCTGACGTGTGTCCTAAGCACATCCCACCCCTCCCGGTCCAACTGGGACGCTGCAGGAGGGTGACCGGTCCTCACCCGCATCACGCACTGACCCATGACCGTTCTCTTGAGGCAAAGGACAGCAGCCCGGCCACACACACTTTCCTTCTGATCCACAGCCTCATCCGTATTTGGACTTTTTAAAGCTCGTTGACACATGACACGGTGCACCGGTTTCATAGACGTAAACTTAACTTACTATTTAGATGAGCTCTTTCTAAAGAAACAAAAAAAAGAGATGATATATTTTTTGTAAACAATATTTCTACCACAGGCATCCATACACTGAAACGACTACGGTGTGCAGGCAGATGTCACAGGGAAGGGAAGCGTTTGGAAAGGAAAACACAAGAGCAAACGAGTCCGAAAAGAACTGCTACATTAGTCCCCAGCTGCCAGGTAGTTCTGCCTCACACTCGGTTCTGTCCAGAGACCAGAGTCTCACCCACCGGGTTCCCTTAAGAGCTGGGACTCCTGGTCTCCATGGAGACAGAGGGACCGCCTTCCCGAGGGTGGGCGTGGCCTGGGCTCTCGTGGTGAGCAGACCGTCACTAGGTTTTCCTCGGGTGGCCATAACGACCTTTAATTTGTGGAAGTCCGTAAGAGCTCGGAGCCCACCGTCAGGCGTTTAAACGTAGTCCGCAAAGTCTCACGCTAGAAACCAGGACCGATTTTCCATAAAATCCTTTCCCCTTCCTCCATTCCAACTTTTCTTCAACACCTCCCCCTCCACCCCCAAACCCTGCTCTCTGGTTTTGTTTTGATCTAGAGACTAGCCAGTGATTCCTTGGCCTTTGGCTTTCCTCGGACAATTTTTTTCCCCCTGTGGGTAACATCGGGGGAGCTTCAAAGTTAAATAGATGGGGAAAAACCTTGTAAGTGGCCTTATCATTAACATGTTAAAGAAACCAAGACATTCGTGACCTTACCCCTTTCAAGACTTCAGGTATCTTTTTCTGTCTCCAGTAATTCAAAGAGGGAGCTGCATGTGCAGAGGGGGAACCCCAAAATGCGAAGGCACGTGGACGAAACGCAGCCAGTGGTCGATTTCAGTGTACACTTTATACTATCCAGAACTGTGACGTGAACTCTTCCTGGCGGAAGAGCGATTCAAACCATGTCGGACGCATAGAGTTGAGGTACCCAAATAGCCAAGGCAGGCACCCCACGGGGCTCCCAACAGCTGCAGAGTCTCCTCCCCCCAAGGTTTTCTGGATATCAATTTGCATGGTATAGTTACAATAGCTTTTCAGCTTTTTATATGCTTTTGCCACCAAGACTGGAACCTACCACTTTGTAGACACTGCAATGAAGTTAACATAATAGCTATACTATAAATAGTGTTTGTAACTACACACACACACATACATACATACATATATTCTGTACAAAAAAACACACACAACTTTTTAAGATCATTGGGTATGTGTTTGCTTCACTCCATTGAAGAAGAAAACAACTTTTCTTCTAACGAAATTATTTTATAGCTTCTCCATTTCTAAACGTTGGGGAGAAATCCTGAAAGGCAGAACTCTTGACTGCTTCGGCAGGAGAGAGTTGCGTTTGGTTCTCTGTGGTCCCCCCAAACCTCTCGTTGCCACACGGTAGTCCCGGGAGCCAGTGGGCGAGCCGGACCGATACTTCTAAACCTGACCTTGGACGTGACTGCTGGGGCTCGGGGGCAGGTAGTGGGAATGTTACCCATGCCCAGAGCTTTTGCATAAGGAGAGGAAAAGGGAATTTTGCATAGAATGCTCTTTCTTTCTCAACAACGCAACATAATAAAGAGTTCATTTTCTAAGCTAGTCCTGTCTTTCCAAAATGCTTCCAAGGGGCTCCAGATGTCCAGGAGAATCTCGTTAGGAGGATTCGTTCCACACTCGAGATAATGCGAGAGCCCGACTCCAGGAATCCCCACAGACAAAGACTGATGAGTCACCTGCAAACACAGCGTCACCCTTTTTCGCCAGCCCCGGGACTGTAGAGAGGTGTCACTGCCGAGCCCATGAGACACTCACGTCCCTCTGAATCTGAGGGGAACTAGAAAAGAGGTCACGAGCCTACCCCTGTCGGGCGTGTAAGTCCAAGTGCACCCTCAGTACTGTGTGTGGTTAATGCCAGCACCCAGGACTCTCGGCACGGTCATCCTCGTCACAGGCGCCCCTCCCCTGTCCAGCTCTGGAGTCAATGTGTTCACCAGGGAGCCCCTCACTGTGGGGGCTCTGGGCCTGGTTGCTAAGGCGACAGGCACGTTGCGGCTGTTAGTGTTCATTGTCAGCACCTGGGACACCATGCCATTGGGGTCTGTCCCCCCATGGCGATTTCGGAGAAAGAGAATGGAGCCAACTTTGAATCTCCTGGCTCGAAAGAATAACCCCCCCTGTAACTCTTACTTTAACCCTCCACCTGAAAACCAGTCCATGTCACGTGAGCCAAACGGGACAATGGGTGACATCGTTTGTTTCCTCGTGGCACTGACCCTGGCTCTCCTCTAGGGGATCTGTGGGTCAGAGTGGCATTGTGGGACTGAGAGCTGCCCAGGCGGGCGACATTTCCCCGGGTCACTAGCTAGTGTGCCTTGGATCGATTACCTCTTCTCTACCGCATCGGAAGGCGCCATGTTTTCCCAAAACACTCAGCTCCTCACAGCTGGGTAACCAGCGACCCCCCGAGACTGGCTCCCACCCCAGGCCCCTCCCCGGGGCCAGCCCCCCTCCCACGGCCCGTCACCCTGGTCCCATATCCCCACTTCACAAGTCAGTGGGTGTGTTCAAGGTAAGTACAGGACTATTCCAGAAGGAGCAGGCGATAGCTGTCGTGGTCGATGCCCTTGTTGGTCTCATCTCATTGTAAAGATAAAACCCAATTTTGCTTAAGCACATTGATGTAATTTTTTTGGTATTATTTGACATGAAAAAAAATCAGCAAAATTGAGTGATAGATACAATATGAAACTTGTTGATGAATGAATTCAAATTTATTAAAAAAGGACTAACTGACTTAAATGTGAAGACTGGTGCGTTTGTTTCTTCCTCGGCTATCTATCGTTCGGGTGGTGTGATGAGTTTTGTTCCAGACCCTGGTGGTGGGGTGGCCTGTTTAGATGACACTGAAGGGAAGAGAAAGAAGGTTGAAACTGGCCCTGGCTGGCGTAGCTCAGTGGATTAAACACGGGCTGCGAACCCAGCATTGCAGGTTCAATTCCCAGTCAGGGCACATGCCTGGGTTGCAGGCCATGGCCCCCAGCAACCGCACATTGATGTTTCTCTCTTCTCTCTCTCTTCCCTCTCTAAAAATAAATAAATAAAATCTTAAAAAAAAGAAGAAGCTCAAAACTGACTGTGGGTGAAGCCGATTGAACCATGACTCATTAAAAAAAATCATTTATTCTGAACTCCAAAGGATAGCTAGGCACACAGAGATCCAGCTTGTCCCTATCTTTTTAATAAGGGTTTTAAGAGAGAAGTATGTTTATATTAAAGGCCAGGGAACCAACCTACTAACAACCTCCTGAACAGTGGTATTGGTCCTGGCTGTCTAGTCCTTTATTACTAAACAGCCATTTCCCCTGTTTCTTCTCCACTGAGAATGTAATAAGTGGTGCCTATGGATGGATGGGTGATGAATAGATGGATGGATGATGGGTGTGTGGACGGATGAATGGATTAAAGATGGATGGACAGATGGTTGGATGGATGGATGGACAGATGGCTCATGGGTGAGTAGATGGATGGATGGATGGATAAATGATGGGTGGGTGGATGAATGAATGAATTAAAGATGGATGGGCAGGTGGATGGATGGATGGATGGATGGACAGATGGCTCATGGGTGAGTGGGTGGATGGATGGATAAATGAATACATTCAGACCATCAGACACCTCTCATCAGGCAGACCTTTATTTGCAGGCACCCAGGGAAGCTACTGACCTGTAAACACCTTAAACTGAGTGTTCCCCCCTGTAGTTGTCAGCCTAGAAATGTTTTCAGCCAATTCGTTTTTGATGGTTTACCTTCAAATGTTCCCACCCTAAGCAAAACCGTACAAATTCTTTGGCCGTTTACAGGTCCTGCATTCATTTGTTTTCATTCATGTGTTTTCATACTTTTTTAACCCTCCCTGGCCCACTGACATTTGCTAAGCTGGACCATCGCTGTGGGGAATCTCACCTACCTCACCAGGCTGACACAATATTCACTCAAATGACTAGTTTAAATTGCCAACAACTGCAGAAGAAAAAGTTTTCAAACTTTGGGAGTTTTTTTAAGGCTTGTTTTAAAAGCATCCTGTTTCCCTGCCTGGTGTGGCTCAGTGGATTGAGCACTGGCCTGTGAACCAAAGGGTCACTGGTTTGATTCCCAGTCAGGGCACATGCTTGGGTTGTGGGCCAGGTCCTCAGTAGGGGGTGTGCGAGAGGCAACCACATATCGATGCTTTCCTCTCTTTCTCTCTCCCTCCCCCTCTCTCTAAAAAGAAATAAATTAAATCTTTAAAAAGATAACTGTAGACATTTTGCACATCTTGGATTGAGAATACCCCTATTATTTCACATTTTTGAACAGCATTGTAAATGACCTTTAAAAATTCCAATGTCTGATGGTTTGCTGCTAGGGTGCAAAAATGCAATTGATGTTTGTGTATTCATCCTGGACTTCGTGTGGGTCGCTCTATTCTCTGAACTCCCTTAGAATAGTTTAGATGCCCAGATATTTACTTTCAGTGCTCATTTCAGTGTTTTATTTACTCTGGTCTTTTCTGTATGCAAGTGACTTTTTATTCTGAGACCAGCGGCCCTCTGGGAGACAGCTTCGCCAGGGTTTCTCTGTATCTCCTGTGGCTCTTCCACACCCGGGCGTTTCCTGTAACTGTTCAGACCACATAAGAGGTCTGGGATGTTCCTGGGATGGCAGCAGGAATGTCTCCGTTCAGGGGGAGCACACAGAGAGCTGACCTAAATGCCGGGACCCCCGGTGCCAGAAGGAAAAAGGTCTCTCTCTTCTGGGATGCTAATATCTTCTGTAGGAGACTAGTTCTTCATGAATAATTATTTTTTTATTTCTTTTTTAAATGTTCACTTATTTTCTTTTAGAAAGAGGGAAATGGAGGGAGAGAGGGAGAGGAGGAGAGAGAAGGAGAGACGGAGAGACTGAGAGAGAGATCGTTTTGTTACTCTGCTGATTGACGCATTCATCGGCTGCTTCCTGCATGTGCCCTGACCGGGGACTGAACCCGCAATCAAGTCACATCTGGACTAAGTGAGCCACCCTGCCAGAGCCGATATCTGACTTTTAAATGACAGGAAGGACGCATCTCAGAATTACAGAGGCCCCCGTGAGCTGCAATCTAGTCACGTGGCCATGCCTCCACAGAAGTGAGGATGGAAGTGTCACCCTTATCCCAGCAATAAATGTAGGGTTTATTGTTACAGAAGAAAGTACAGTTGTAAGGGAACATTCTCAGTCCCTGGCATGTTAACAAAATAATCTTTGATCAGGGTGACCATAAAAAAATGGAATGTTCTACAAAAATCTGAAATGACTTTGTTACTGAGGCATGATGTGGGAAGAAGGAGAAAGAGAGACTGTTTCATTAAAAATACAGACATGGCCCTGGCTGGCGTAGTTCAGTGGATTGAGCGCGGGCTTCGAACCAAAGCATCGCAGGTTCGGTTCCCAGTCAGGGCACATGCCTGGGTTGCAGGCCATGGCCCCCAGCAACCACACATTGATGTTTTTCTCTCTCTCTCTTTCTCCCTCCCTTCCCTCTCTAAAAAGGAATAAATAAAATCTTTTTTAAAAATAACGGTTTCATAAGCTACAGAGAAGAAAGTGTAGGTTTTGAGAAAGCAGCTGACTTCAAGGCAGCCCAGAAATGATAGAAGGGTGAAGTCTGGTCTCCCCACAAAAGACGAGGCAATGCAGGCTCCTTCAGAAACTAGTGCAGAAGATTACTGAATGCAAATTATAATTTATAAAAAGAATAATTTTTAAAAAGCTCATTTAGATCACTTAAAATTTCGAGAACGATCTTTTTCTATTCCTTCTCTGCTGTCCTGAAATAGAAGTACTAGGGAAATACTAGGGAAAGGAGCTCATCGGTGACAACATCTGGGAATCAAATCTCTTTATTTTATTACAAAACCGTAAGAATCAAAACAAAGCAAGCATTGGTGCAGTTAGGAAAGGGATTTAATCTGAGGTCCTTATTTGTTTTGCCGGATTTTGAATATTGACACTGTCCATGATGTGTGGGGAAAATCTAGCATCCAGAAGTGTTTATTTTAACTTGAATCATAGTTCACACCATGGGGTTGATCTTGCCATAATTTTTGTCAACTGAGGTAAAATAACCCCCAAGGAATCATTGAATAACCAGAAGAGGTGTTGATATTTAACGCGTACCTTTTTCAGTTACATGTTAAACTAAGTAAAACAATACATTTCTTTTTTTTAAGATGTTACTTATTTATTTTTAGAGAGGGAAGGGAGGGAGAAAGAGAGAGAGAGAGAGAAACATCAATGTGTGGTTGCTGGGGGCCGTGGCCTGCAACCCAGGCATGTGCCCTGACTGGGAATCAAACCTGCGATGCTTTGGTTTGCAGCCCGCGCTCAATCGACTGAGCTACACCAGCCACGGCTAAAACAATACATTTCTACCCTCACACATAAATTTTAAAATAGCATCATAAAAATAATCATAAACATAAACATGACAAATGATGGCTTAAAATCACCCAGTTCTTGGAAATAGAAGGAAGTCATTCATAGGACTTATTTGCAAGTGCATTGAGAATGAAGTTAAATCAGGCATGTCTATAAAAGGGAAAGAAAAACAAATTTCTATAGCTTTTCTTTAGCTCTGCAAAGGTATTCCAGAATTATGCCAGAACCTCTGATGAACCTAAAGGCACCTGGACTCGAAATCACTTTCTAGTTATGTAACCTTGGGGAAGCGGCCTATCTGGGGTTCAGCTGTCTCTGAGACGCCGTGGTGACAATTTTATCTCATAATGACAGGAGATCACTGCACTGGGGACTGGCATTTCCCATCCCTCGCCTCCCCCTCTGTGAAACTATACCAGTATCCTCAGCAGATTATCAGGCTGCAGGAAAAAAAATCAGAAAGCCCAATGGCACAGGACATGAACACTTACCTTTCCCTTGACTGGCTCCCAGGTGATGGGAGATGCGGTGAATGAGGGGGCTTTCAGCTGGCTTTGGTTTTAGGCTCTGGTCCCCACCTGATGCAGCTGTGGTCCCAGGGCTCCTAAGGGGCTCCCGGAAGCTGTGGGGCTGGGCAGAGGGGGTTGCAATGGGTAAACCTGATTTCCTTTCTTCCCAGCTCCCTGGCCGGTGGGGGGCTTCTCCAGGAACTGGGGCCATGGGACTAATAAGCACATTTGGGTGAAAGATGAGTCATGCCTCCGCCATCCACCCCCCTGGATCACAGCCAGATATGGGGGCTCCAGATCATCTCCAGAGAGCCCCCTTGAGAATGCCAGCTGCAACTCTCCTCGATTAAGTTACTCAATGGCGTGAGCAAGGTCTGAGTTTCCGCCCATCCAGCAGAGGCATGAAGAGTCAGCAACAAGGGCTCCTGCCCCCAAGATGCCACCGAGGAGGACTGCACAGGGACAGCCTTGTCCGGCTCAAGGGTGGGTTTTCTTGGTCCAGCTGGCCCCCAGGGATGAGCGGGGACCAGCCCCTGCTGTGTTCTGGGCGCATGTAAAAGAGAAAAGACATTTATTGATGACAGCCATTCTGCCACGTGGGAGGTGATACCTCAGTGTGGTTTTAATTTGCGTTCCTCTGATGGTTAGTGATGTTGAGCATCTTTTCATAGGTCCACGGGCCATCAGGATGTCCTCTTTGGAAAAGTGTCTGTTCCGGTCTTCTGCTCATTCATTCATTGGATTGTTGGTTTGGGTTTAGTTTATTTGTTTGTTTGCTTTTTGGTGTTGAGTTATATGAGTAATTGAAAGC